TGAGTAACGTGTTATATTCATACAAAAAAAAACGGTTATATTCATACAAAATTATATTCATATAAAAATGTTATATTCACGGAAGTGAAATTATAAAAATTCTTCTTCGAATCTCAATAAAGGTCTCTCTAATTAAAGAACAAATTGTTAATCCAAATTGAAATTTTTTTTTTTCAAAGTGGCACTTTTCTGGCTTTCAGTTTTAGAAAATTCAAATCTAAGCTCTCTCATATTTAAAAACTTAGTTGTATTGCTTTCAATAAAAAAATTCCAAAAATCTGTTGAGTTTTTCTTGATGTTTGATCGTAAATAGTTTTTGACCAATTTTTGACCAACTTTACTTTGGAAAAAGATCTTTTGTCTCGACAGACAATGACTAGAACTGTTAGCAAGATTCACAATGCAATACAAGTGTTTGGGAATATTTCTTTAAGATCATGTGTGAGTATAATTTTAGAGCATCTAGCAGATTTTTCTTAATTGTTTAAAATTTCTTCCAACCAATTACAATTATCTTTCAATATATATCTTCACTCATGTCTGAAATATTCAGTATTCTAAATAAGAACTGAAACAGAGACATGGTTGTACGAAAGTCTTTAAAACACTCGTTAATTGATTTAATGGAATTTAATTGGAATTAATAAAAAATGACTGATTGGCGAAGAAATTTTTTTTGAACTCTTATCTAGAATCAAAATAAATAAGTTTGTTTCAACTTTGTTGAAAAACTTTTGTTTCTTTATGATTCATTATGTACTGATCAAATTTAGTTTGATTGTAACTAGATTCCAAAAATGTTAAAGTGGATTTTAACACTTCTATAGAAATTTTGACATTTGATGAACTTGACTGCATAATTTTGTTTGTGTAGTTTATTTTGTTCAATACATCATGCCAAGTAACAATTCCACATTTGAATTTCAAAGTATTCATTTTAGCATCAATAGATTTGGCTGATACTATGGTACTTTGATATGATACTTTGGTGGTTCCATCACGCTTTTAGCAATTTCATACATTGCTTTATAAATTTTTTGCAAAATTTTCCCTGATCCCCGATGCGACTCTTTTATCTTGTATTGCTTAAAAATTTAAATATTAGTGATGGGCACTTCATTTCTGAAATACTTCAATGTTTTTTGGAACCAGAAAAAATGTTATAAAGGCTCTACATAATTCCAATCTATAACAAGTTAAATTAAATTTTGTTTATATATGTCTCTTAATTTGTAACATATATTGCATCAAAAAAATCAAGAAAATATTAAAAATTTTCAACCCTGTGGTATCTGAACTGTTATCTTTTTCTATAACAAGATATCGTATGATAAGAGATAATTGTTCACGATTATTGGTGTGCTATCCGCAATAATGTAGTAGTATTTGGCTTTCTTAATTTTTTAAAGTATTTTTAAGGATTTTTTAAGGTTTTGAACTACAATGTCTTCTTTTCAACTCGATCCCTTTGCCAAAATTTTCAAGGTAATCAACTTAAACTTCATGCCTCATTGATTTTATTATAAATGCCTCCAGTTAGCAGATCTTGTTTTTAAAAGGCAATTATCTGTATTGTTGAATTCTTTATGACAAAAACAAAATAATTTTTTAACTTTTTCTAAGTAAATTTGTCATGATCTTGGATGAATTTTACAGTTAAAAATTTTTCAACAAAAACATTTTAGCTAAATAAACAATCCTCATAATTTTTTGGGTAGCTGTTTGATTAATGGTTTGACCCTTCTTAACTATTTCTTGAATATTATGGTTTATAAGAGTCTGAGGCTAATCAGAAATTTCTTCCTATTTACAAGAAGAGAGCCTACTTGGTACTAAAGTATGCTGAATAAGCCAAAAAAGAATTCTTGAATTTACTATACAGACACCTTTATAAGAAAATTATTTACAAAAATTAAATATTGAAATATTGTTTTATTTTAAACATATAAGTAATGATTGAATATTATTAGAACAATGTTTTTTTTTTTTTTTTTTTTTTTTTTGAAAATATTAATTTACTGTTGATCTTAAAATTTAAATTACCCTCAGTTGATGTAGCAGCACTTCCTTGTAACAGCAGGGTACAAGACAGTAGATGTAGCAGCAATCATCATGTCCGCCACAATCATCTTTATACTCTTTCATAAATTGTATTCATCAAGAATAGCTGTTACAACTTTAACTATAGTTCAAGTTATAACAACTATTATCTGCTTTTTAGTCTGGTAGACATAACTTTACTTCTCTTTGTTTATTCTTTAACACTAACACTTAATATTCTTGGTGACTAAAATTGACATATTACTAATTCTTGGTGACTAAAATTAACATATTACTAATATTATAATTAGCATCAAATTGGAGTAACCAGTATTCAACATGTAGTGTTTTCTTTATTTCAGTTGCAGTTACAGTTTGCTGTAGTTATTTCTTGTACATAGGGACTATTCTTTTGAATCTTGATATTTTGCCTCAGATTTGGAAGTTGACGTTTTTGCTGTTGTCCTTACTGTTGTTGAAGTAGTGTTTAAGCTTTTCTTCATTTTTTAACTAGCAGGCTTCCCAGTTGTATACCTGACCTGCCCTTTGCTTTCAATCTGAAGATAATACAATCTTTTGTCCTTACTACAGAGCTATTCACCATATTTTTTGTGATTTCAAAAACTTCATGCTATAAATCTTATTTTCTTTGTTTTAAACATTTTTTTTCTTCAGCACTTGATCCTGTTTTTCCTGTACAACTTATGTTAATAAGTATGGAAAATTTAATTTCTTTTGCCCTAACCTTTTACTTTTTTACTTATCTCCCTATGATAGATTCTCCCAAGACAGATAGTGACCAACAGTTTGGATTTTGAGTGGTATCTTGCTGATATCATCCGGTGAATGTTTTTTTAATGAAACAGTTCCTTTTCTATGTACTTCATAAAATTGTACAAGGTTCTTCATCCAGATTGTCTTGTTTCTTTAATTAGTGGAAGCACTTATAGGACATTATGATTGAATAATACTTAAATATATTTCTATAAGGCAATAACAATAAATATAACTGTTATTGTACTTCTATATTATTTGACTGCTATTTGGCAAATATGTATTTATATATAATTATTAGTGTTGCTCAATTAGGTACCTTAAAGGTTAAGTTAAGACACTTTTTAATCTTGAATTAAAAAAGATACAAAGTTACAAAGTTGTTGTTTTTAATTGAACGCTTCTTCTAGAACAAGTCTAGAACAAAAATAAATTTCTTCAGTACAAATTTTCTTATTTTTCTCTTGATCGGATTTTTTCTATGATAAGATTTTCTATGATAAGATTTTGCTACTTGAGATCCTCTGTGGTGATCCTTGAATCTGTGATCTGAGATCTGTGAATGTGAATGTGAATGAACTCTGTGGTGAATTTATCTCACATTCAAAAGTCAGTTTTTGCTTGCATAAACTTCTTATTTAATTTGGCTTTAATAATCGCCCAATATTGCTCAAACGGACGTAGCAAATTAATGTAGATTTAGAGTAATGACAAAAAGCTATGTCAAGCCAAAAGATTGCATTGCCATTTTCAGCGTTCCACAGTGGCAATAAGCGCTTTTTAAGGCACTCTTTTTGATAAATTTCACTAATTACTGTGGAATTAGTGGCAAAACTTTGTTTTCAATCCACATTAACTTATGGCTTGCCAAAACTTAATTTTTTGGTAGAATTTTTTATAGTTTTATTGTTTTAAATTTAGTCTTTACCTTTTTCCTAAAAACTCCTATATTAAAATGATGACCTGAAATTGTTTTGAAATTTAGTTTCACATAAGTTTCATCATCCATAATTTAAACAAAATTTGAGTGGTTGTTATGCAAGTAGTTGTAAAAAGCCCTCCTATACAGTGCGACTAGTTTAGGACATCTCCAATTTACCCCTTGAACAATTTAGACATCTAGTTTACCCCTTGTGACCTATTTTTTCACATGGAAATATAAATGTGATTTAACTTTTTTTTTAATATTCAACTTTCTATAGAATAAATACATTTACATGAAACAATTTTTATTAGCATGGAGATGTTTATAGATGTGAGACTTTTTGTCCCTCTTGCAATGTTTATATATCCGGGTCTTGAGATGGCGAGTATTTAATTCAAAGAAACATGTTTTTTTTACACCTTTATAGGTATTTTAACTAGTTTTAAACATTTAATTTTAACTAAAGATGACTAGTGTTAGTCATCTTTAGTTAAAATTAAATGAACAATACAAACATGTATTGTTTTTTATTAAAAAAATGGTGTTAAAAATAAGAAAATTTGTCTTGTTTATGAAAATATTTACATTTTTGGTGCTTAAAAGAAATTTTAGTTGCGAGTCAGGCTATTTGTCAGTCGATGTAGCAGCACTCTGTTACAAGTCAGGTTGTCAATATAGCAATACTAGCGCATGATTTACAGTAAAAAAAGAAATTAAAAAAAACATTTTATTTAAAATATAAAAATAAAAACATTGTTTATATTTTTAAAAACAATTGGAATGTTTTTAAAAACATTCTGGTCAATTAAATTTGTGTTTTTTGGTTTTTTAAAAAAGCGATAAAATTAATGGTTTTAACTTTATGACAACACGTAAATGTTGAATGAAAGTCAAAAATCATTTTTTTACTTTCCGTACTCTCAAAGCCAATAATTTATATATATATATATATATATATTATATATATATATATATATATATATATATATATATATATATATATATATATATATATATATATATATATATATATATATATATATATACATATATGTATATATATATATATATACATATATGTATATATATATATATACATATATATATATATATATATATATATATATATATATATATATATATATATATATATACATATACATATACATATATGTATAAATATATATATATATATATATATATATATATATATATATATATTTATATTTATTTATATATGTGAATGTTTTATTTTATTTAGATTAGCAAAAGATTAATAAAATACGTAATTTCTAATGCTTCAATTGCAGTTCTAAATGTTAGACATTTTCGTAAATAAATTTTTCTCGTTGTTTAATTTAAGTTTTTTATTTAAAATTTTTTTTTTTTTTTTTTTTGTTTAGGATTTATTTTGGTTGATATATTTGCAACTTTTGAGTCAGGTTTGTTAAATCATAATTAATTTTTTATTAAAGTTTGGCTGCAATTAGCTAGGTATTGTTGGCCAACTAAAGTTAAGTATACTATTAAACTATCAAAAGTTGATTTTGTTTTAGATCATATATTCTATATCATTAACAGTATTTGTTTCTGTAAATAGAAATGATAAATATCAACAACTTTAACAAAATAACTTATTTTCATTATATACATATATATATATATATATATATATATATATATATATATATATATATATATATATATATATATATATATATATATATATATATATATATATATATATATATATATATATATATATATATATATATATATATATATATTTCTATTAGTTATTGTAAGAAATGAATATGTCATATTTCTTCATCCCCTCCCTTATTTTTGAGTGTTAATAATATAAACATAATTCTCAATTTCATCTCTTCTTGGTTCTATATGAAAACACACTATCTTGGTCATGTACTGGTGGAAAAAAACATGTATGTTTTTAAAGTGGTTCAAGGGTCTTTATGTATCTTGTTTATAATGCTTCCTCTTTAGGTGACCATACTTATCGTCATTTTCCAGCAATCAATCTTTATTAAAGATTGGGACTCTAGCTATTATTTTGGGCATGAAGTCTCAAATTGGACGGCCAAAGAATACTTGGGCAGAGGATAATTGGCAAACGGAATCCCGTTCCACATTTTCTAGAAGCCATTTTGTTGATTCAACTGCTGTTCGGCTCCTCCATTAGATTGCGGCTGGTGAGCTGATGAAATACTAGTTATTCCCCATTGCTGTTAATAATCTTTTTTTCATCAGTTGTATATTAAGGACCACCATCAGTTGATACTTTTCTACAAACCAAACTGTATGAATAAATTATGTAGACACATAATATGACCATTTCCACTAAATTCTGCCCTGATTTTGTTCAGTGTGCCAGAAGACTCAGAATGTCTATAACCAATAACTAAATAATTCCAGCCATGGTGTTCAAATAGTTAGTGAATATGCATTTAAATGGCATCAAAGGAGTATGATGTTGGGTATGTGGTAGTTAAGCTTCAAAATGTAGGTTAGGATTAAAGCTGTGACTTTTTTTTTATAGCTGTAAGTGATGTCTGGCCAGTAAACAGTAGTCTGAGTTTTGATAAAAATGAAGTACATTAGATGTACTGCATTTTTATCAAAGTAAGTTTATTTTTATTAATGTGTTTTATTTTTTTAAATGAATGATATTACAAATCTATAACTGTATATTATAACCCCATTAGAAACTATCAAGTCATTTTGATATTACCAGAATGGAAAAAGATTTGATGAACTCTCAGAAAGGCTTTTAAAGCTTTTGTTGAATATTGCCAAGGCTACATAAGGAGCTCTAAGTTATGACTTTTGGTTAATTAGCAGGGCTGAGACATCTGCAAAGCTCATTGCTTGAGTTTGCACGCTTGAGTTTGCTATGAGTCAAGTTCTCTTTATCATAAATCTTGATCTAAAAGCATTCAACTTAAAAATGTTTGTGGTCTTTAAAGTAACTTTCCGTCATTTGAATCTTACCTTTCGTAAAATTTACCAGACTTGTTTGCCTTTAGTGAGACTAATTTGAAATCTTTGGTCAGGGTTACAGTAATGATGACTATTATCCTTTCATTCATAGAATTTCCAATTAATTCTTGTCTTGGTGGTATACTTAAACATTAGTTCCCCTATTTGTTGAGAGGTTTGAGTTCTATGACTATTCTTTTGTGTGTTTTTGTGTGTTTCACTCCATCATCTTTCTCTTTGTTCTTTATAGTGTTTAGCTTCACTCCATCACCTTTCTCTTTGTTCTTTATTGTTCTTCTTCTTCTTGAGACTGCACTCTTTTAGATCTAATTTCTTATCAAATTGACCAAATAATTTCTTATTAAATTGACCCTTTTTTTCTTTATCCCTCTGTTGTTGTTGATGACTTTAATGCTTATCACACCAAATAGCTTGGCTCTAACACCACTGATCCTGCTGGCACTAAATCTCATGATTTCCTATTTCTCAATTTTAAATCAGGTAGTTAACAATCTCAAGTGCGATTTCAAGTCTATATGATCACTCAAATAATATTTGATTTTAAAACTTGACCACAGCTGTTAATATGTTTTGAAAATTTGTATACATTTTAAAAATGCGCTGAAAAAGTTATCTTTACTTTAAAGAAACTAAAAAAAAAAACTTGTCGTAATGAAGCAAATAAATCTTTGTAAAAAAAATAACTAAAGGCAAAGTAAAAATAACTAAAACTAAAATAAAAAAAATTAAATTAAAACATAACTAAAACAAATAATAAACTAAGATTAATTGGAATAAATAACTTTGAATCATTTATCTTAACTGTTTTTATAATATGTTATGCGAAACCCTTTTTAAATAAAGTTATAACTTACATCTAACGATTGTTAAATAAGTGCGCACATTTAAAAGTAAATAAAAAAAGATTCTTAGCAAGTCTTTTTAGTAATGTAAACAAAAAAAAAAAAAGTTAAATTGTTTATATAAAAAGTTGATATAATTTTTTTTTTAATTTAAATACATTTATAATAAAAAATACTTATATAAATGTAAAAAAATATATATTATTTATGAATATTTTTTATAAAAAATCATTAGCAGTGGTTTGTTACTTTATTTAAATGTGTTTCAAAAATATAAAAAAATAAGTAAAGATCAAAGTTATTTAATTCAAACAGCTTTCAAAATAGTTTGTCTTTTTTTTTCTTCTCAATAAAATCTTTCAACTTTTTGAGTGACTTAACTTTAATGATTCTTATTAAAGTGACCATTGCTGTTTAAAGTCGTTGCTTATAAAATATATATTTTTTAATTTTTTTTACTTTTTTTATTTTACTTATAAAAATTTTGTATAATTAAATAATATAAATAAAACTTTATACAACTTTCTATAATACTTTAATTAAAATCATCAGCTACTTTTATTTAAAAGCGTTTTGCTAATATAAATATAGTTAGTTGAGATAAACGTGTCAAAGTTATTTATTTTCAATGTAATTATCCATATATATTATTAAACCAATTTTGTCAGCGCATTTGTTAAAAACCATGATTAAATCGTCAAAACAAAATATTTTGTGGTATTTACACATATAGACTTGAAATTGCACGCTTTCCTGGCCAAGCCTGATGACACTACCTACTTCTACTCTGAAGCTGATTAGGATTGTTTTTTTAGTTTTCTTTGTGAAGGTCCTTAGGCTGATGTCTCTGTTAATAAATGCTTCTTCTACATAACCTCCTGGATCTAGACAGGTATAGCCTCATATTACTGAATAGTTTTTACTTTCTTGTGCAGCTGCTATGTCTAATCATAATTGTTTTTTTTATCTTTTTCAAAAGATCAACCCGAATCATTTACCTTCTCTACTCGACTTGTGTCTTGTTTCTGATCCTTGTCAGTACTCAGTTTCTCCACATTTACCCTTAGGTGCTTCCAATCATGGTTTGGCCTCTCTAAAACTATTATCTCATTCTTCTTTATCATCAGAATCCCACTATCATCATACATCTTACAACTACCTTAAAGCTGACTGGGATTCTTTCCGTGATTTTCTTTGTGATGGCCCTTTGGTGGAAATCTTTCGTCTTCCTGTTGGCAAAGGTACTTCTTACATAACTTTGTGGATTCAGGCTGGCATGGAATCCTTTATTCCCTCTCAACGATTCCAGGTCAAGCCTTACTCTTTTCCATGGTTTTCCTCACATTGTGCTGCTGCAATTGCCAATCGAAAACATTACTTCCATATATTAGGCTCTCGAGACTTCTGGAGAATCTTTAACAGTATCAATAATAAGGGCAAATCTGTTATTCCTTCTCTCTTGTATGGTTCAGACTTTGTCACCTCACCTAAAGACAAAGCTGAATTGTTTGCTAAGAACTTTTCATCAATATCATCTCTTGATTCCACTAATTGCGTTTTACCTGACATAGCCGTCAAACAGGTTGATCCCTTGCTTGACATTCGCATCACTTCAGCTTCTGTATCTAAAGTAATTTCCTGCTTAGACTCTTCAACAGCTTGTGGTCCTGACAACATTCCTGTTGTAGTTTTGCAGAGGTGTTCTCCGGAGCTTTCATCCATACTTTCTAAACTATTTAACAAGTGCTTATCAGAGTCTTGTTTTCCATCATGCTGGAAAGCAGCATCTGTTATCCCTATTTTCAAAAATTCCGGAGAGCGATCTGATTCATCTAACTACCGTCCCATTAGTCTTCTTCCTGTCATAAGCAAGGTTTTTGAATCTTTAATCAACAAACACTTAATCTCTCATCTTGAATCAAATAACTTACTTTCTGATCATCAATATGGATTTCGGTCTTCTCGTTCTACAGCTGATGTGCTAACAGTAATAACCGATAGGTTTTACCGTGCATTAGATAGAGGTGGAGAGGTTAAGGCTATCGCACTTGACATTTCTAAAGCTTTTGATAAAGTTTGGCATGCTGGTCTTCTCCATAAGCTTTCTTCTTATGGTGTAGCTGGTAACGTCTTTAAGATTATTGAGTCCTTTCTTTCCAATCGTAGTATAAAAGTTGTCCTCGATGGACAACACTCTTCTTCACATCCTGTAACTTCAGGGGTTCCTCAAGGTTCAATCCTTGGCCCTATACTCTTTTTAATTTACATTAACGATCTTCCAGATATTCTCACATCTAAGGTGGCATTATTCGCTGACGACACTACCATTTACTCTTGTCATGATAAGAAGCCTACACTCTCTGATTGCTTGGAGGGGGTATCTGAGCTTGAAAAGGATCTCACTTCTGCTACAGCATGGGGCTCACAGTGGCTGGTGAACTTTAATTCAGATAAAACTCAATTTTATTCGGCCAATCGTTATCGTAATAATTTAGATCTTCCTATATTTATGAATGGTAATGTACTAGATGAGTCATCTACCATTCATCTTCTAGGATTAACTCTTACTTCTGATCTTTCTT